CTTTTTTTTTTTTTTTGGATTTTTGGGGGGGGGGGGGGGTTTTTTTTTTTTTTTTTTTTTTGGTGGGTTTGGTGTTTTTGTTGGTTTGGTTTTTTTTTTTTTTTTTTTTTTTGTTTGGGGTTTTTTTTTTTTTTTTTGGGTGGGGGGTTTATTTAATATTTTGTTTGTGTGTGTATAAAAAAAAAAAATTTTTATTATTGTGCACTGGGGGTTAATGGGGGGGGGGGGGGTTGGGTGTTATTGTATTATTTTTATTGTGTTTGTTAAATGAATGCGTTTCTATTCTAATAATAAAATAGAATACTATTTTATTCTTATGGTTATTGTAATAAAATACGAATATAAATAATAAACACAAGTTATGTATATTTTGTTCACAAAATTTCGAACGGAAAACTACCGTAGGTGTGTGACGGGTCCTTGATCCCGGATCGGACGTCCAACACGGAATCCCAAAACGGAATTCCTTATGTATGTAGCGGGCTTTGAAATGCCAAATTCTTCTGGGCTTCGAATGACATCGCACCGGTAAGCCACTAATTAGACGAACACGCAGGTTATAGATGGGAGCAAGTGGCTCAGTAGTATCTATCGCTTTTCTTATCAATCATTGGAGGTGAGCCTATATTTAATATCAGCAGTGGATTTGTGATAGACTATGACGTTAATAATATGATGATGATTAAAACTTTTAATTTAAATATTAAAAGAAATTAGATAAATAAATAAAACTATGTATGAAGCGGATATCAGCTAAAACGACTATAATATTATCTTAATTTCAGCCTTGGTTTCATTCGGTTTAGTCTGGTTTAATCCGGTTGAAACTGGATTCATGCAGTCTGAGGCGGACCTGCAGTTTGCGCTACGATAAGTATTGGAGTGACGTGCAATTTGTGATCGCACTGTACTTTTGTTTGCTCTTCTAGAAATTAGAATTCTAATAGTGTAGTACGTCGAGCATCGATTGTTAACGGTGTTCATGAACATGTTATACAAGTACCGAGTTACGAGAGAGCTACATTTACATTAAGTCAGTTACAGTTATAGTAATTTTTTATAAAGACTTGAGGCTGATGACTATAGTATTATCTTAGTATCCATTATATCTACATATTATTTTAAAATTTTCAGACATTATACATTAAAATTAAATTTATTTATAATCTAATTTTTATAATGCCTACATAATAACAACAAATAAAATACGTGGGTACCTAACAAAAATTGTTATTAATATTTATTGATATTAATAAGTGACTACTACTCTTGCGTAATGCGCACTCATTTTTAATATCAAATTATCAACTGAGCCAACAGTTCATAGTAAGTGGTAACAACAACTCGCGGACACCTGGAATCAACTTCGAAATAGAAGGGTTAGGTTACGTAGGTCTCGTTTTTGGGGTCTCAAAGGAAATACGGAACCCTCTTAAAATATCACTATGTTGTCTGTCCTGTCTGGCCGTCTGTCTGTCCGTATATGACGGCTCTGTAGCTTGTAGACGTGTGTGTCACACACCTGAAGTTTGGAAACTTGGTATCGATTGTCGTTGGGTCGTCAACTAAATTTTGAATTAAAATTCAGTTAAATGTGGCTGAAATAATGGTCATAGCTTATTTTTATCCTTAGACAGAAAAAACCCTACCAACTTGGGGAAGACATTGGTCCAGTCCAGGACTAAGTTAAGAAGCTGATAATGTACACATTTTTTTAAATGTCTTATTCGAATTATTTACGTAACTTCTATTGTATTTTCCTTTATTTTAATTCTTAATTTATAGGTCCTAACATTTTTTATATGAGTACTTATATTGAATTCATAAACACAAATGTTTTGATTACTTTAAAGGTACAAAAGTTCTCACTCGATTCTGCGAAATTTCATTCTATAGCTTTACATCCAACATTAAACGCTATTTAATACTTATGTTTGATACTAGAACATCATAAAACGCAATGTTTTAAATCCACTCTCTCGCTCCGGCATTAAGTACGACGAGCAATTTCCCATTTTCGTGTGCATTAAGTCTTACACTTATAAGTATGTCCCCTACTTCGAATTCTTCGTTCGAATTGAAATACGTTAAGTTACGTTTCACTAAATATATTTTTGAGGTTATTATTACACTTTGATAAATCGATCCGTTTCATTTACTGTCGTAAATTTTAAATAAACTAAATTTTATGAGCCACACCGCAGCCTTTATTATGGCTGCAGCAAGAATAAACCGGTTCTACCGGGGAAGTACCATTCTCGTACAGAAAACCAGCGTAAAGAGCAACATTATACTGTTGTATATATGAATGTTTGGGCTACAGCAACCACTAACCAACAACGCGTTTCATTTATAGCATATAGATGTGGATGTAGATCTATGGACCTCAGCAACAACGTACCATAACAGATGGGCTGTATAAAAAACAAAGAAATTTTAAGATGATTGGGATGACTGGCACGCACTTCATCTGATGGTACATGAATGCTGTGTCTCACAGAAATCTTACATCTAGCCTCAATTAAGAATCAAAATTCAGATTTGTTGTCACCCCTGAGGACTACAATGGTATATAATGTCTTGTTATCGGCGAAATGCGTCTCCGGTGAGTGTTAAACTCGCCACACGAAACACAGCACGTGTACGTTAAGCTGTGAGATTTTGTATTTTTTTACAGTTGAACTATTACCACAGATATGTTGGACCCAGTGTGCCACGTGGTAAGGGACCGTGTTAGGTAGATTACATAGATCGTGGCCCGTCGCGCGAAATGACAACTTAAGCACCTGCTCATCGTCTTAACATCGAGGCGAGAGAAAATCCAGCGTTGAATGACAGAGGACTGTTAATCGATGATTAAAAATAGTATCTGCTTTTACTGGCTCACCGATGTGAAGCGTGCCTTTATACTGTGCCCGTTTCAAAAATTTTTCAATATTTTTGTGTTTCTACGGTGCTATAAATTGAAATTAGGGTTATTTGAGAAATAGTTTTCGGTAAACAAACAGATTCAATGAATTGCAATACTAAATTTTGACTCAAGCTTTTTAAAAAAATCAGCTTTTGTTCAAGTATATCATTTATTTGCTTTATTTTACGGAATGTAGACTTGTAATTTTTTAATCAGTTGATTATTAGTTTTAAGCAGGTGAAGGTAATTTGATTTATTTAGTTACTAAAAAATATTTGTACGCATACAGAAATTACAATGAAATAATCACGTAACGTGAGCTTAAGGAGGTTTATGTATTTAAATTTTATAATTGTAAGTTATTTATGTATTAGAAGGAAAATTTATTTTTTCTAAGGATCAATAACACCATTTCTTTCCTTATTCAACATAATGTTAATTGTTTTAATATATTTACTGTTTTTTGTTTTTAATTTGAAATTCTTTAGGTAAGCTATTTATAATTTCTGGTAGTATATACATGAAGTAATTTAAACTTTGCGGATGAATTTTATGCGGACGGTTAAACCATAATTTTTAATTTGTTTTTCTGTAATTGTACGAAACTAGTCAAATTGTTTTACCTGGCACTGATTAGCCTTCTTTTGATTAAAACTACTTTTACGGATTTTATCGCGTTTATTTTACTTTTAATTACTTTTATTTTTAATTCCCGACGTTTCGGGCGCTTTCCAGCACCCATGGTCACGGAGGACTGAGATGACTGACGTCCCGATGTCATTGTTAAACCCGGAGTACCTTCAGCTTTTTTAATTATTGTTTATGGGCCGATCTATGCAAAATGAACTGACTACGTCCTGAGCCTTAGCCTTCTTTTGTCAAATGTCACTTTTTTTACGTGGAAACGAGGCATTTCATCTTAATCCTCAGTGGTGACAACGCATTTGCGTTTTGATTCTTAATCGAGGATAAATATAGATGTCTATGGGCCACAGCATCCACTTACCATCAGGTGGACTGTGTGCTCGTTTGTCACCCTTATTCTATAAAAAAATCGATATTTTTTTAATCCTATACTGTAATTTTATCGCATTCCTTTTTTATTTATATTGATAGAAATTTATTGCATTCCCGCTGTGTTTTATTAAATAAATAACATTAATTACATTTTTGGAAATGATTTTTTATTTTAAACTATGGGTAATAAAAATATAACTTAAGAGCTGATTTGTCATTCGTCAGTCAAATCATCCGTTGATTAAATTATAATTACATATCGCACATTGAGAAGAAGAACGTCACTAAACAAAACTAAGGTAATTTTACATTAAAACGCCATCTTTTTATTCAAAAAACAATCTCTGTATTGCAAAGACTCGTTTTGTCGTAGTTCCTCTAATTGTGGCTAGATAGCGTAGTGACGTTATGGTTTTCTGGCGGGGCGGCACGCTTTAGGACAAGAAAGAGCGGCATTTTTTTAGTAGTGACAGAGACACGACGCGTATCACTACAGGGCCTACGAAGAATAACGTTGTTGTTTGGATAGTGTCGTTGTGTAGTAAAACTTTTTGGTAAGTTTTTAAGATTGCTTGAAGTAATAACGTCTTTATATGAATAGTGTCGATATTCTATCAATTTAGTACACCACAAAGTGTCGAAATACAAAGTTACATAGTGTCATTTTGAGTATAAATACATTATTGTTTTAATATTGATATGTTTTTTTAAAATCTTTATGACATTTTGCATTAAATGTCAGTATTCATATAATACCAAACTAGAAATTAAGTTTTTGATTGAAAGTAAAGGAGTCATATTTCGTTTAGTGCCTACAATTAAGTAGCAAATAGTATAAAATTAGTTGTTGTACTTTTTTGAAGATTGTCGTTTTAAATTGAAGTTTATTTTATTTAAGTTAGTTTTTTTGTAAAAAAAAAACAGTATCATATCGACATATTGCTGGAAGCAACAGTTATTCACGTCATCATTTGAAGATAATACAAAAAACTTTAAGACATAAAGCCACATTTTGTTTAACTACACAATATTGATATGGTTTTAATATTTTTTCTCCTCTATTTCAGTCAAAATGCCACTACCAAATTCCAGAAGTCTAGCATTAAAAGAAATTATTAAAGATCTCCAAAAAAATAGCTCAACAAATAGCGAAGTAGAAAAAGAAAATTTATTACCAGTAAGCCCAACCGACCAGAAAGAACCGATAGAAAATCAAGTTGTACCTTCTACTTCAAAAAGAAACATACCTTTAAATGAACGTGCTTATAATGTACACCAAAGTTTACGTGATAAAGGATCGTCCTACTCTTCCGATCAAAAGTCTGATCAAGATTTTTCGCCTGCTTCCGATGATGATAGGGAGTATATACCCCCATCTATAGCTGACAGTTCGTCTTCAGACGATGATTTCAAGCGACAAAATAAACAAAAACAACATAAAACTTACCTCTCTCAGCCAATCAAATCTTTGGAAGAAACAAAGTGTCCAATTAAATCCGTCTCGTCAAGATCAACTTCTATGTCGTCATCTTCTAATACTTCGAAATCCAACTCTAACACCAGCTCCGATTCCAGCTCCGATTCCAGCTCAGATTCTAGTTCAGATTCTTCTAGCTCAGATTCCGAGTCTGATTCCTCAAAATGTAAAAAAAATAGTAATTTTGTTCCTTCACCAGCTAAATTAAAACGCTATAGTTCTCCGGTTGTAAATACTTACCCCCCTCAACCAAAAACTTCATCAAACTCAATGCGAAAATTCTGTATCATCAGATTCAGAAAATAAACACACATCTCATTTTAATGAAGTTTCTTCTATAGAATCAAATATTAATACAAATAACATTTCTGGACACATCCCTCTTTCTGAAAATTTACTTAACACCAGTCCAAGTGCTTTAAATTTATCTACAGAAATTTCAACAGATGTCTAAAAATTCCATAACTCGAATGAACCGTTACCGCTAAAAGTTCTTACATAGAAAATTGTCACCTCATTAATTACACATCAACAATCTGATTTGTCTGCTTCTCGTTCAGCGGAGTGCCAAAATTCTAACTCTTCTCCTAAAAAGACACGCAAAAGAAAACGAGGAATAAACAAAAAAGCCTTGGCAAAAACATTGCGCAATTTAGGGCAATCATATACATCTACCTCAAATGTTGTTAAATCTTGTAGAAAAATAGGAAATCCTTGCGGTGATGGTTGCCGACAAAAATGTAAGGAGAGGATTTCGGAGGAACAGCGTCAAATTATTTTTAAACGATACTGGAGCATGGGATCTCTAGTTAAACAAAGAGAATTTATATCCAGACATATTAGGGAAATCAAGCCTAAATACCAATACAAAAAAAATTGATAGCAATAGAAAACCTAAACATTCTTTTTATTTCACTATAGATGGGGAAAAAATTAAAGTTTGCAAAGTCTTTTTCAAAAATACATTGGGATTAAATGACAGACCTATTCGCACCGTGATTGAAAAATTGAATTCGTCAGGAATCGTTGAACCAGAACTTCGAGGTAAACATAACAAACATCGTCAAGTACCAGTGGAATTGTTAGATGGAGTCCGACAGCACATAAATAGCATACCTAGAATCGAAAGTCATTTATTAAGGAAACAAACAAGCAGAGAATATATTGATGGAGGAAAAACACTAACCGATTTACACACAGACTATAAAAATGATTGCGAAAAGAACGGACTGCCATATGTTAAAATCCACACGTACCGAAAATTTTTTAAAGAAGAATTTAATATTAGTTTTTATATTCCGAAGAAAGACCAATGTGGAGACTGCATTAAATATCAAAATTCACAACCTTCAGAAAAGGAAAAGCTCGAAGAAGAACACAGAATTCATTTACAAGAAAAAAGAAAAAAGCCGAGTAGAAAAATTGAAAGATAAGGAAGCCGTAAGCGAAAAAAACATAGTAGCCTGTTACGATTTACAAGCTGTTCTACAAGTACCTAAAGGTAATGCGAGTTAGTTTTAATATAGATACCAATTAAATTGTTTGAATTTTACAATTTATGAATTGCCAAAGGATCATGCTGAATCTTTCTTTTGGACTGAGGTTGAAGGAGACAGAGGTGCCAATCAAATAGGCTCTTGTGATTTAAAGTATTTACAAGATAAAACAGCAGCTGCATCTGAGGCATTAGATTTCATTTTTTACAGTGACAATTGTGGTGGGCAGCAGAAAAACCAGTTTGTATTTTCTATGTACATTTATGCAGTTAAGAATCTCGATAAAATTCGGTCAATAACGCATAAATTCTTGATAAAAAGGGCATACTCAGAATGAAGGAGATGCTGCACATTCCACGATTGAAAAACAAATTAAAAAGAATCTACGGTCAGGACCAATTTATGTTCCAGACCAGTATGTAAGTGCTATAAGAGATGCAAAAAAAAGGGGAAATAAATATATAGTAAAGGAAATGAGTCATTACGAATTTTATGACATAAAGAGCCTACAAGAATATAAACTTGTGAAAAATAAAGAAGGAGAAAAGGTTAAGACTAGTGATATTAAAGTTTTAAAAGTTAAAATGTCGGAAAATGTGTCTGATGGCATAAGAGTTTTTTATAAAACTTCTTATTTACAAGATGCATTTAAAGAAATAAATTTGCAAAAGTTAAGCCGGGCCAGACCTCAATTAAAACAATTATATTCATCAAGAATATCTTTATCTGCTGCTAAAAAAGCTGACCTGAAGAAACTTATTAGCAAGCGTGCTATTCCACTTTACTATGCTTGTTCTTTCTACAATTTTGTTCTTAATTGATTTCAATTTTTAACTGATCTCATGTTATTTGATTTGCTATGTAAATTGATATACTTTATTTACTACACATTTATGCCTTAATTATGTTCTAACAGTAAATGTTCTTTAGTTTGACTATTGATTTTTATAGATTTTATAAAAAATGTTTTGGTACTCAATTATTATTTTTAGTTTTTAGATTGGTAGTTTAGTACTTGATCTATAATGTTCCTAATACTTAAGTAAAATAATATTAATATTCTAATAAATAACGACAGATTAATGATTATTTACTACGGAGACTGATTTGGTAAGCTTACAATTAGAATAATTATTCATAAAATTAGTCACCATTACTATTGATAGTAATAGTTAACACTCCCAAAGATAACTGTCAGACAATAAAAAATACATAACTATGTATTCCTTTGTTTTATTTTTCGATATTTCGCAACTAATTTGAAATTAGTAATGTAATTTTAAAAAAATTACATCGCTTTTGTGACTCTTATGACTACAACTTGTCACTGGTTCTGCAGTAATAATAAAAAGAAGAATGACACTAAACAAATTTTTATAAAAAAATCAACATTACAAGTCAAAGAAATTAATAATAAAAAGTAAATTATAATATTAAAATAGTTTTCTATTATTTTTAGTGAAAACAGCATCAAAAAATAGTTTCGAAGTCAAAAACTGCAATGGTGTCATTTTTTCATACTTTAAATGCTTATTCCTCAAAACTACATTTTTTGTTTAGTGACGTTCTTCTTCTCAATGTGCGATATTCAGCCACATATAAAAGTAAAACAATTGAAATATTTATGCATGCAATATGCATTTTATACTATGAATAATAACTGAATATTAAAAATCTACCCAAAATTATACAGATAACAAATTGTCCATTAAATAAATTATTTAATAACAATATTTAGCAAAATATTAAGGGTCTGGTTTTCAGCGATAATATAAATAATTGTGTATTTCATCGCGTCCACGGAGTACTGAGACCGCATCGTGTAGTAGGCTTTATGAGATGTTGCTGCCTGCCAGTTAAAGGACAATATCACACTGTTCTTTTCGTCGAAAACGTGACTATGCTAACGTGTGTTATTTTTATGTAACAGCTGCAGAGACACTTAGTCGTTATCTGTATAAAACTAAACAAACAATATAAAGAAATCTAATTCATGTAAGAAAGAAAGAAACGTCTTTTTCGAAGCTATAGTATAGTATAATTATAAATATAAGCTATAGTATAAATATAAGCTATAGTACGTACATACACTTGTATTTTATTATTTTGATGTTCTGCCGGTGCTTACCATCTAACGAGCAGTCGCCAAATATAAGTTTTATCTAAATAGTTTTCTAAAGTTTAAATATAAATAACTGGATAAAATGATAAGTAATAACAATAAAAATTGATATACAAACAAAACAAAAATAACCTTATTTTTTAAATTAAACTATTTTTTTCTTACACATCATTATATTTATAGTAATTACATGACTTTATTATCTCTGACACTTGACAGCGTGGTAATATTAAATAATATGTTTGTTCTTTATCCATGTCACGTCACATAAAACACGTCATCACTCCAACATTAGATATATCTTGCTAAAGAAAGTTAAGTTTACAACGGTGCAGTAATGGTACTGGAAATAAATTCATATGATTTTTAAACATTAGTTTAGAATAAATAATTTTTGGTTTCTGTTGAAATTCCACTGGCGATAGTGTGTTTCAACCTTGTTTGTGAACGGTGAAGTTGTGTGATACTTTATACAAACACCCTCTAGTGGCGTATCGCAAACGTTCTTATATGCAAATAAAATCTGCTGCAGTGCTTTGAATTTCATCCTAGGTTTTGCTCTTATAAGAACGCACGACTCTTTTTAAGGTACCTTCACATGATTTCCTATGCTTCATGATAAAACTATTTAAATTTCTGATGGCATTAAAATGCTATGGATGCATTTATGTATTAGTAAACGACTCACACGATACTTGAGAGAATACTAATATGGAGAAAACTTCGTTGTTTTAATAAATCAATTATCGTAAATGTGGACAGATGATGATCGTAGATCGTGTACGATTCTCTACTATCCATATAGGACACGTAGGAGCATCGTGATGCCTCATTGCTCTAGTGATCGTAAGCGCGACTATTCATCCAGCCGCGGGTTGGGCCAAAGTCAGTTATTGGGTTTTTATGCCTAGGAATCTTATTGATGGTGTTTCACGGTGCTTAAGAAACCATGTTAAGCCGGAGTCCCTGAGCCTGCTCTCTCTCCGTTTGTGTTGGATTGCTGGACCATCGGGCTATAAGAATAAAGGAATAGAGAATGCATTTGTGCTTGGGCTCACACTCGTGCACTATATTCCTGTCCTGTGCAGAAGGATAGTCTTCGTTGAGAATGGCTGCCTTGACCAAGATTCGGTATGGAGGGCATGACGAGTACATGCTGCCATTTCACGCTTGTATTGTTAGCGCTAGCCGCGGACACAATACAGATGCAGCATGATCACACGAATCCACAAATTTGAACCATGGAATGGAAAAGTCTACAAATAAATGAATATAATAAATACATTTTATACTAACTTAACAGTAAACAGTACACCAGTGTAAATCCACAAAGCCCGTATGTCGCAAATACGAGCAAAACGTATAAACGACAACTTGGCGCTATTTGCAGAGTTAAATTTCAGTGATATCGAATTTCTATCTCATAAACTATTCCGTAGTTCCGACTTCTCAGTATGCGGACCGTTTATTTGAGGAGGTAAAAAGAACCATGGGAAGCCTTGTAGGGTAGGCATGGAAACGAAAAGGGCGTGCCTCGGATAGAATTACATCAGCCCTTGTTGGTTATACTAGTGAAACTACAAAATTTGGGTATTCTATAAATCTAGTTATGCACGCGACTTTGTTAGAGTCGGCTTTAAAATTATTAAAATCCTTTAAAACTGTATTTGTGTGTTCGAGCGCGCTGGTGCGTGCTTCCGTGTTTGTGCGTGTGCGTGCGTGCGTGCGCGCGTGTGTGCGTGCGTGCGTGCGTGCGTGCGTGTGTGCGTGCGTGCGTGCGTGCGTGCGTGCGTGCGTGTGTGCGTGCGTGCGTGCGTGTGTGCGTGCGTGTGTGCGTGCGTGTGTGCGTGCGTGCGTGCGTGCGTGCGTGCGTGCGTGCGTGCGTGCGTGCGTGCGTGCGTGCGTGCGTGCGTGCGTGCGTGCGTGCGAGCGTGCGAGCGTGCGTGCGAGAGTGCGTGCGTGCGTGCGTGCGTGCGTGCGTGCGTGCGTGCGTGCGTGCGTGCGTGCGTGCGTGCGTGCGTGCGTGCGTGCGTTCGTGCGTGCGTGCGTGCGTGCGTGCGTGCGTGCGTGCGTGCGTGCGGGCGTGCGTGCGTGCGTGCGTGCGTGCGTGCGTGCGTGCGTGCGTGCGTGCGTGCGTGCGTGCGTGCGTGCGTGCGTGCGTGCGTGCGTGCGTGCGTGCGTGCGTGCGTGCGTGCGTGTGTGGGTGTGTGTGTGTGTGTGTGTGTGTGTGTGTGTGTGTGTGTGTGTGTGTGTGTGTGTGTGTGTGTGTGTGTGTGTGTGTGTGTGTGTGTGTGTGTGTGTGTGTGTGTGTGTGTGTGTGTGTGTGTGTGTGTGTGTGTGTGTGTGTGTGTGTGTGTGTGTGTGTGTGTGTGTGTGTGTGTGTGTGTGTGTGTGTGTGTGTGTGTGTGTGTGTGTGTGTGTGTGTGTGTGTGTGTGTGTGTGTGTGTGTGTGTGTGTGTGTGTGTGTGTGTGTGTGTGTGTGTGTGTGTGTGTGTGTGTGTGTGTGTGTGTGTGTGTGTGTGTGTGTGTGTGTGTGTGTGTGTGTGTGTGTGTGTGTGTGTGTGTGTGTGTGTGTGTGTGTGTGTGTGTGGTGTGTGTGTGTGTATGTGTGTGTGTGTGTGTGTGTGTGTGTGTGTGTGTGTGTGTGTGTGTGTGTGTGTGTGTGTGTGTGTGTGTGTGTGTGTGTGTGTGTGTGTGTGTGTGTGTGTGTGTGTGTGTGTGTGTGTATGTGTGTGTGTGTGATTCTGTGTGCGTGTGTGCACGCGTGCGCGCGCGTAATGTGTATGTGTGTGTGTTAAATATTTGAACTGTATAT